TGTAGGGATGACAATTTTACTCGAAAACTCACACTTAGAGTCGCATTAGATGGTCAGAAAACCCAATTTAAATGGGTTTGAATTAGAACTGGGTTGAAGTTTTAACTTGTTGTGGGTCAGTGACATGGTAAATTTAAAGATCCTCGACCCTATTCTCTGTTAACCCGTCCTGTTTAATTATATTTTATTTTTAAGTAAATATATATTATGTCCAATATGCTATGATATATAAAATTAAGTATAATATATTACATAGTATATATATATGTATGAAAATTTAAAACTACGGTTTCTTTAATTTTTAGCTTACAGTTTTGTATAGCTTTATTAATAATTATTTATTTTTTATTATGAAAATAATGAATATGATAAATGGGGTATCGTGAGTATTCTAAATTCACAACGGGAAAATCTATTCTGTATCTTGTTAATTTATGCGAGTTAATAGAATAAAGATGGTGAGTGTTTCACGTAATGACTAGTATAGATAAATTCTTAACTTAGATATACATTTCTAGACAAGCAGTAAAGACAAAATATCTTTTTCCCGACAAATTCAACTCCTTACGCGGTTCCATAATCTGTAATCACCACTGAACACGGAGGTGATGAGGAGACGTGGAGTCCATCTATTGCACCGACACCTAGCTATAGATCAGTTTCAGTGTTTACTCATTACTTGTCTGCATAGATCTCACCTAATTAGCCTCTTTTTTTTTTTTCTTTTTTTTTTTTTTAAATTTCAGGTAATTCTATTATTGGTTTCTCTCTCCAATCTCACTTTCGACTATTGCTTGCGAAAAGATAAGAGTAACGCATTTCCTGTTTTAATTTAAGAGAGAGATACTATAACATGACATATATTTTCAAATTTATGATATCTCCACATTGGTCAATACAATTTAAGCTACTCATGACACGCATAAAGTAGAATAAAGGTCTCGTTCACTTCGCTGATTCGAGTTTAGAATTTAAGTTTTTTTACAGTAAAAAATTCTCACAAACAATCACATCTAACTTTTTTACTACAGTAAAAAATTCTCACATAAAATAATATCTCAACTCGAATTTTAAACTCGAATCAGCGAAGTGAACGGGACTAAAGTTTATAAAAATTCATTATCACGTGGATATATATCATATATGATTGGATAAATTAGACATGCTGAGCACACTAATGCTGACTTGTACAAATACTCTTATAAGATTATAAAACACTTTTGTTATAAAACATATCATCAATTAGATACTTGTGATTATAATTGTGGTGTCTTTAATCGATTACATAGCGTCAATCATGATTTGGCATGTTATGTCCTTTTCACGGATATGATCTTTTGCGCTTTTTCACGTGGAATACAGGCAAATTGATATGCGAATTAAAAATTGTGACAATTGGTTCCTTCAACTTTGAAATTGTTGCATGACAAGTTTAATTACAAACGGCTGTTAAATTATGGATGGTTTATGTCACGTGACTAGTACACGTATAAGAAAAAAAGGCCGTCAGTGGTCTTTTTGTTTTATCTCCGACTCAAATGTGGTTATTATTCTCAAAATGAATACAAATTGAACTCAAAAATCTATTTTGATAGAAAAAATCTATTGTTAACTCAAATCTTTTTTTGCCAACTCAAATCTTTATTTTTATGAATTGAAATTTAAATTAACTTTAAAAATAACCTTTAAGAAATTAAAAGAAAAAATTAAATTAATTTAGAATCAATAGAATAAAAACATAGAACAAAAATGTTTGGCAAACTCAGAGAGCCGTGTTTAGAATTGATCTTATTTTTATTTTTTATGTTTTTTAAGAAAAAAAATAAAAATATTTTTAAAATGACGTTTAGCGTAATAAAAAGAAAAAATAGAAATGAAAATAATTTTTTAATTTAATGTAAAATAAGAGAAATAAAAAATAATTTGTAGTAATTTTTTAGAACGAGTTTTAAACCCCATTTTCCGGATTTCCTCTATTACAACTGATTTACAAGGAGCTTGCGCCGACAGAAGCTCCAACGGCGACATCACTTCCCACTCCAACTTGCTAACAGGCAATCGGTGTGCGGATCGGACTCCATCTTCTCTATCGCCGTTCCTCTCGTACTGCGATTCTCCTGACGACGAACCCAGAGACCTTGTCTCTCCCACCTGGTTCAATTCGTGATTTTTTTTTTCTCTTTTCTTTTGTTGATTGCTTGCATATTCGACATGGGGATTTTCTTGTTGGAGATCTGGGTTCATTACATTTGTTTGGAAAATGAACAAAATTTGTTGGCTGACAAAGTTCAATGTCTGTTTTTTCTCTTTAATTTTCTGCTTTCAAGTTGGGAAATGAATAAATCTGCTTTTTCTCTCTCTCTTCGAAAGTTGTCTTCGATCTCAAAAAAAGAAAAAAAATTTAAAACAATAAGTGGGTTAGTTTGAAACTCAGTTATTTCTTTAGACATGTGAAAATTTACGAAGATGATGATGTGAGAATAAGGAATATTTCCTGGTTCCAAAATCAAATTCAATTGCTATTTATATCTCTTTTCCATGGTTTTGTTTTGACTTTCATTTGGGTTCAATTGAAGAGACGAAGTCGGAGGAGCAGGCATTCAACGGCTAGCCCACGAAAGGGGATAGGGGTTTAGGTTTTTCTATTTTCTTGATTTAATTTTTTTTCATTTTTTGGTTTTTTTTTTTTTTTTGGTGTTTGATTCACAATTGATGAAAAAGACTAGAATGCCCTTTTGATAATGTAAAAAGCTGTAAAATTTTTAACAGTTATTTGTATTTGGACTTGCTATGCAACAATTTCAAATTGAAGGGGTTAATTGTAACAATTTTTAATTGAAGGACCAATTTGTTAAAAATCTTAAAGTTGAAGGAGGTCTCATAAAAAAACCAAACAAAAATATCCAAGTGTAGATTTTAGAAATTTATGGATAAGTACAGATATAAGAAATTTAAGTAGAAATACGACAAAGCAAGGACAATAAAGTAAGAAAGCTCACCTACGGTGGCCGATCTAAACGTGGTCCAGCCATCCACGTGATTTCTACTGGCTTTGACGACGGTCTTTCCTATTCCATCTCCCACGAACATCAAATTGGTCTTCTTCCTCACTACCTCCACATTCTCAAGATAAGCACCGGCTTTTATGTATATCACAAACCTATATACGTATATGCACAAAAAACACTATTAATGTCAAACAAAAAAAGAAACCAACATAACAGTGTGACACCAGATTAATTAGCTAATGCAGTAACTAAAGATTTCTTACCTAAGCAAGAACATCAATAAATACCAATTACAACACAATGGGTCCTACATGTACTTATTTACGCGTTCAATATTATTATAAGTTTATAATTCAACAATGTCCTTGACTGATGATATTCGACACGATTCATACTAACTAAGTAATAAAGAATGTGGGCCCACAGGTGATCAGGCCTAAAAATACATATATTAAAATTTTAACGCGAAAAAAAAAACCTTGTTTCGCTGTTGTTGGGAGCCGCCGCGACCGCCTCGCCAATGGTGGTGAAGTTTCCCGTGCCGTCCTTAGCCACCACCAAGTCAAATTTGGTCGCATTCACCGTCGACTGCAACATTCTTCGATCCTTGGACGAAACCCACGTTGGGAAACCATTTTTCACTCTCCCATACTCCGGGAAAACTTCGGACGACGTCGGCCTATTGGTGGCCTTGTGCTCGCTCTTGATCTTGTTCACCATGACCAAGATGTTACTCACGTGGTTAGAAATAGTAAGCAACCTCTCCTGTATATTACTCCTCACGTACTTCCCTTTGGCGAAATCAAACCCATCGACGCACGTGTACTGGTTCGTCATCGCGCCGCTGAGCAGCGTCTGCAAGTCGTGGAAGTGCTTCGACGCCGATTTCCTCGACGAAAGATCGAAAACGACATCGTTTAGCTCGGCGATTGTGTCGTCCAGGAGCTCGAGGCAGTCGTCGAGAGCTCGCTTCTGAACCGGGTCGCTGCTCCTGAGGTTTCTTTCGATGTTGGTGCAGTTTGTGGACGAGGCTTTCACCTCTTTGAGCGTGTGGCTGACTGTGGAGGAGATTATTTGGGGGAGAGATTTTGAGATAAGGTCCGGGAAAGAAGCGACCGTCGACACGCAGAGTTGCGGGTAGAGTGTTCCTTCGCATGCTGAGAGTGCGATTTGGCTGTGTTTGTGGAAATGTAGGTGCGGGTTTTGTTGATTATTATTAGTTTTGGTGTTTGTGAAATGGGTTTGTGATGAAATGAAGAGGAGGGTTAATAGGAGGGCTAAAGTGGGTGTGGAGATGATTAAAGAGAGTTTTGTGTTTCTTCTTAGGTTATAGGAGAAGGGGAGAGAGAGAGAGAGAGAGAGAGAGAGAGAGAGAGAGAGGAAATTGTGGAGGGAATTGAGGAGAGTGTTGTGTGGGTGATGAATTAAATAGGCTGGTTACTCATTGACTGTGTGTTAAAATGAAGAACTGTTTTTAGTAGGGCATGAAAAAAAGATTCTATTTATACGATGAGTCGAGATTTATTGTCTTCATTTTTTTTATTTTGGTATATGTCCATTTATTAAATATCTACTATGCCATTTAAATATAAAAGTCCGACTACGTAAACAAAACTAAAAGACTAAAAATAATTATGTAATTTATGATGTGTTAAAATTTCATTAGAGAGTCAACCATTGAAACAAGAAAATAAGACAATGGGTGCGTTTAGAATTGGTTTCAAAACGTTTTTATTTTCTGTACGAAAATGAAAATGAAAACGTTTTTAGTTTCATTTTTGAATTATTTCTAAAAATGCGTTTGGTAGTTTTATTTAGAGATTGATTTCAGTTTTAAAAAAAACTGAAACTGCGTTTGGTGGTTTAATTTTTGAAAACATGTAATAATATATTAAATAAATAATATTATTAAATATATTAAATAAATAATATATTAAATATATTAAATAAATAATATATTAAATATATTAAATAAATAATAT